TACTAAATTTTGATATAGTTTTTCTTTTCATACTGTCTATATTATTTTCATGGTTAATAAATTACCTGTAATACTTCATGTGATCCATTCTCCAATGTTTTAAATGTATACATAGCAAAATAGTGCATATATTTACCTTTTTTTTTTAATATGAATTTGTAACATTATTATTTCTATCTCTAATGACAGATTGAAAAAAATTTCTGTAGTCTACAAACTAATCTTAGTAAATTAAACAAATTGTAAATGTCTATATATGTGCATGAAGGAAGTCATTGTATATAGGATAATGGGAAATAAAACCCTCGTCATCAAGTCAATTCTAACTTGTAGGGACCCTATGGGACAGAGTAGAACTGTCCATACTGTTTCCAAGGCTGTAATATTTATAGAAACAGACCTCATCTCCCACAGAGCAGCAAGTAGGTTAGAACTTTTAGTTAGCAACTGAATGCTTTAACCATTGCACCACAGGGATCTGTTATATTGATGATAATTAGATAGGAATATTGAATATCCTGTGGACTGTCAAAAGAATAAACAGGTATGTCTGGAGAAAGTGCAGCCAGAATGCTCCTTGGAGGCAAAAATTACAAAGCTTCATCTATGTACTTTGGGTGTGTTTGTTAGGAGAGGCTATTCCTTTAAGAGGGACATCATGCTAGAAAAGGTGGAGGAAGACTCTCAATGAGATTGATTGACACAGTGGCTGCAGCAATGGGTCCAAGTGTGTCAGAAATCATGAGGATGCCACAAGATAAAATAGGGTTCAGATCTCTTGTTCACAGGGTTGCTCTTAGTCATACTGGATTTTATGATACCTAACAACAACAAAACTATAATAAAATGATACAAAATAGATTCTTTTGGGAGTAATGAAAAGCTAGGAATACTAAGAATTATTAATTCTCATAGCAAGTGGTATTCTCTTAGTTAGTGGTATCTATAAGACAAGAGGGAAGAAAACTTAATTTAAAAGTGAGTTGTCTTGCTCCCTGTAGCATAAGATGATGACTAAACTTCAATATTAATAGAGGATTACTGTCTTATTCACCAAAGTATTACATGGTCGCTATTGTGTTGTACATCTGCCACTCTGGAGAGATAGGCTAATAAGTAAAAGATACTGTTCCTGCCAATCACATAGTTACAGAGATGAGACTAGCACTGATCAGACAATTGTAGAATTTACATATTCTGTAAGAAAAGACCTAATGATTACATAACCCAGAAATCTGACCTGAATTTATTTTGAGTTGATTCATCAGTTGAACTGAGAAAATAAACTTTCTGAGAGCAAGTGCCTTAAAGAAAATAGTTTCAATTATGCATTTCAGTCCCTGCCACAATGAGACAGTTCATCAGGTTTCTCCTTTTACAAAGCCTTCCTTAACTTCACACTTAACTAATGGGTTTTAGTGATTTCTCTTTTGTTGTTTTAGACAATCTTCCCCACTCCACATTGACTAGAAGGTGCTCTAAAAACCTACATCTTTTCTAAAAGTACTGAAGAGTACTGAGTATCCCATAGACTGCCAAAAGAACAAACAGATATGTCTTGGAGAGAGTGCAGCTGAGTGGTCCTTGGAGGCAAAGATAAAGCTTTGTCTCACATACTTTGGGCATGTTGCTAGGAGAAGTTATTCCTTGGAGAGAGACATTGTGCTTGGAAAGGTGGAGGGTCAGTGAAAGAGAGGAAGACCTTCAGCCAGATGAATTGACACAGTGACTGCAGCAATGAGCTTAAGTATGTCAGAAATTGTGAGGATGGCATGGAATAGGTCATGATTCAGATCTTTTATTCATAGGTTTGCTGTAAGTCATACTTAATTTGATGGCACCTGACAACAACATTCTAATAATATTTATTCTGTATATTAGTGTAATATACAGTAATATTATATTTAGTTATACTATATTTGTCAAAGCTCAAAATTTATGAGCTAGCAGTTTCAAATCTATTCATTCCAAAGAAACACAGGATATGTATATATTCTCATGCATAAGATGTCTATTGGTGCATGGTGTTAACACAGAAAACAAAAATCATCCATCTAAAAAATTAGTGTATATGAAAAAATGTTTTCAATTACTGTATATGAAGAATGGAGACTATACTATATATTATTCTTAGCATGTGAGTATGTTCTGCTGGAGAACAATATTGAACATATGGACCATCAAGAGAACAGACAAGTCTCTCTTTGAGGAGGGAGAACCAAGTTTCTCCTTGGAAACTCTGTCTCACATACTTTGGGCACGTGGCCAGGAGGGACTGATCTTTGGGGAAGGACATGATGCTTGGAAGGGTGGAGGGACAGCACAGGAGCGGAAGACCCTGGATGAGATGGATTGATACAGTAACTAGGGCAATGGAAGTAGGTGTGTCAGAGTCAGAGACTTGCTTAGGATAAAGCAGGCTTCAGAACAGTTGTACATAGATTTGCTATGAGTCACAGGCAACTCGACAGCACAAAACAATAAAATGAATCAGAGGGTAACATTTTAACAACTAGAGACATTATTTTAAAGAGTAGGCACTGTAATCCCAAAGGCATGCAGTTCAAATCCATCAGCTGCTTTGCAGGAGAAGGATGGGCAGTCTGCTCTTGTGGGATTAACTGCCTCTGAAAACGTGCCAGAGAGTCAGCCATCGATTGGTTCCAACTCAGCGGTACATAACATTTATGTATATACATAATATTTCTTTGTCTAGAAGATAGTTTGAAAAATAAATATTGATCTGTAATTATTTCTGGGAATTGAGATTGGATGCTTTTGTAGACCAGTAAAAAATATTCCCATTATGTTGGTGGTGGTAGGTGCCACCAAGTTAAAATTATTATGTAACATTTCATAGAACTGATTTCTTCCCTTATTTTGCCTTTTAAATTATAATGACTGTTTGTTTATCATTTCTTTTAATCTACATTAAAGACCTAAGTTTGTGAGTAATAAAAATTTATTTCAAAAAGTAGTTAATAAAGGAATAGAGAATAGTAATAGAAGAAAGCATAGTGAGTCTGTATACTCAAGTCAGTTTAAATTGTGTCCTGTTGATGTTGTTTGTGAGACAATAAAAAGAATTACCTATGCATGACTTTTTGGAAGATGTGAAGCCAAGATACTTTTTAGAGATAAGGGTGGTGAGACTATCTGTCATATTTAGGGTATATTATGATGTCCTTGGAAGAAGACATCATAGAAATGTGGAAGGTCAGAAGAGGAGAGAAATGCCTTTAAGGAGATAGAGTAACAATAATGGGCTGAAGCACAGTGTGAATAGTGAGGGTGGTGAGGTGCTGACTGACTGAGCAAGGTTTTGGATTGTTGTATTTGAAGACGTGGTGTGTCAGAGACAAGGCACCTCAACAGCACCTAACAACAACAACATGCATAACTTTAACATATGTCTGTTGTTGTTGTATGCTGTCAAGTTGGAATCAACCCAGAGCTGACTGCTTTGGGTTGGGATTACAGTACAGGTTCTTACCAGAGGCCACCAGAGCTCCCTAGGAATAACTAAATTGAAAATGGTTTTACACTATGTTTCAGTGTGCTTTGTAACAAATTAGATTTTATTGCCTTTTAGGTTTCTCAGGACCATGAAACAATGGCACAAGTTTTGTTCAGTAGAAATTTGAGGTTGAACGTAGCTTTAACATTCTGGAGAAAGAAAAGTATAAGTGAACTTGTAGCCTATTTGGTCAGGTAAGTGTGACCACTTAAGCTTTTTGTTCAATGAAACTAATTTTCATTGTATTAACTAGAAGTTCTTTTTTTTAATTTTATCTTTTTTTATTTTAATGAACGTTTACAGAGACTTTGGATTTCCATTCATCCCTGCCCAACCTCCCCCCCTAGTTCTCTCTTCTCTTTGAAAAGTAAAATAAAAATTCTTTCATTGTTATACAATCCTTCCCCCCCCCATGTCCACTCCACTATGCAGCCTTTGTTTTGAAAAGTAAAAGAAAAATTCTTTCATTGTTAAACAGTTCTTCTCCCCTTTTTTATGTTATTACTGGCCATAATTTTAAAATTCCAATGTTTACTTTCAATAGAGACAATATAGTTTAAATTGTGTTCAATTCCAGTCAAAGAGTAACAAAAATACAGAAAACCACCTCTTTTGAGTGTTGAGAATGGGTTACATTTACCTTCAATAGAGACAGTATAGTTTAAATTCTATTTATCACCATTCTAAGAGGAATAGAAATACAGAAAAACATGTTTTCCTTCATTTTCAGTATTATGTTGAAGAAAGCTATTACCTTCTCCAAGATTCTTACCTGAGAGATTCCTGTTGAGTGAGATGTTAAGTATTTTGTTCCACACATATTAAAGATTCTGTCTAAATGTTTCCTTATTAATTAAACTATCACCTCATTTAAAAATACTTATTTCTTCACTGTTTTCCTATCCTATCCTACTTTTTTTCCTCCATAGTATTCACCATCATCAATATATTCTGCCTGTTTTACTGTCCACTCACCCTCTCCCACACTTCACTCACATACTGGTATACATAAAACATGCTTTCTCCACCCCCAACCCCCCACTGGAACCTTTTTTCAATGCTGTATCTCCAGTCTGTGTCTCATCAAAAACTCAATAAGTTGCTGAATGAATAAATTTCTTAAACTAATAAGATATTAATGTAAGAAAAGAGAGGATAAATAATGTACACGGCATTGAAATAGATGAGGGAAAGAACTGCTTAAAAGGAATATATGATTAGGTATTATTTGACTGACAACAGTCCAGAAAAAGAGCTTCGTAGTAAAGTGGACTGGAGTGGGGATGAGGAACTGTACAAAATGAAAGATTTTTTATTTTTTTTTTAAGAGAAAGTAAACAGGGGCGGGCAGGGTGGGCAGGGAGGAAAATGTGCAACAATGAATGCAAATCCAAGTTCCCTATAAACTGTCATTAAAATCACAATTAAAAAAAGGCCAAAAGAAAGAAGATACTAACAAAATAATAAACTATTCTTTTTGTACCTACAGGATAGAAGATCTTGGAGTTGTGGTAGATTGCCTTCCTGTGCTTACCAATAGGTAATTAGGAAAAAATTTGGAAGACAAATTTTAGCACTCTCATATTTTTGTAACTTGACATTTCTTGGTTTTAGTTTACAGGAAGAAAAACAGTACATCTCACTTGGCTGCTGTGTAGACTTGTTGCCTCTAGTGAAGTCACTACTTAAAAGCAGATTTGAAGAGTAAGTGCTAATCTGAATTCCAATCCTGTTTTCTCTCTCAATTTACTTGATTTTATATCTTATGAGTATATTCTAGCATGTTGGGCTCCGTTTGACATACATAGTTTCTGTTTTCAAATAAATAATTAGAAAAAAATATAAAGAACTACTACAGAAACACTTAAAAGAAGTTATGTAATAGAGTTCTGTGAACTAGATCTTGGAAGTGGTGAAATAAAGTGTGTGTGTGTGTGTGTGTGTGTGTGTGTGTGTCTGTGTATTATGGGGAGGTCATGGTTTATAAAGACATTTTGGAGAAAAACATTTGACTTTTGTAACAAATGTCATTTCAGATATGTAATAGTTGGTTTAAACTGGCTTCAAGCAGTCATAAAAAGATGGTGGTCAGAACTGTCATCGAAAACAGAAATTATAAATGATGGGTAAGTATGCTTTTTAAAATAAATTCATGCTATTAAAACTTGAGAAAAATAGTTTCATTAAAGTGGATGAGAGCTAGTAATCGGTGTGTAATACTGATGTTCTTCATTTCTGAGAACTTTTAAATTGAGATACTGATGATCATGTATGAAAATTATGCATGAATTACATCCCAGAGCCATTAAGTAGTCTAGTCACCTTTGCCTCTTCTGGCAGAACTCTACTTTCCATTTTAGAAGGAAAAAACCATGGCAGCCATTTATCAGTAATGCCAAAATTAAAGAGATGACCCTCAGTGGAATAAATGTTAAGGCACAAGAAGTGCCCTTGGGCCACTTAGATTTTAGCCTGAGAGTTGTTCAGTCGTGATGGTTATAACTCTAAAACTATATTACAGTCACTATAATTTAGATTTTACCAGTTTGTTTATGTGTGAATAATTTTACCTAATGGGCCAGATTGTATCATAAAATAACACACACAAAATTCTAATAATATTTTTCTTAAAGCCCATAATTTCAATACTTTAAAAATTTCTACTTTTTATTCAGAGCAGATGTCCAAGCACACCTAGTTCTTTATTTCCCTACTTCTTTTCTTACGGGTTTTAACAAAGGGCATTTAATTTCCATGATGGACATATTATTTTAGTCAACTGCTTAACTTTAATATTTTCCTCTTGATAAATACTTGAAAATTTTAAAACTGCTTCCACTACCAAAGTCCATATCGTGATAAATTTGCAATCTGATTTTCATTTTTTCTCTTGTAGAAATATTCAGATTTTAAAACAGCAATTAAGTGGATTGTGGGAACAAGAAAACCATCTTACTTTGGTTCCAGGATACACTGGTAATATAGCGAAGGTAATTGATATCTAAACTTAAAAATTATACATTGTAAGTTAGAAATAATATTTTTATAATCTAGATGTATAAGTGAAAATCTTTAGACAGAGTAACCAAGTACTATTTTAGCTTTTGAAGTGATCCCTAAATTCAGTTTCATATTTGTAGATGCTTTTGATATTGTGAGTCACCTTGGCAAGAAGCATAGGATTTAATCACTGAATGTAGATTATAATACCAGAAATGATGTGCTAGAGTATTTAGTGGCCCAGTTCTCATTAAAGTATTATTTTAAAAGTTCAAGCAACATAAGAAAGGCATTAAAAAAAGAAGAAATGAGGAACACAATCAAATGATTTTAGAATATTATTTCTGCTTTTGCTAATGTCACTGCTTTTTTTTTGTCACAGTATTGTTTGTCTCTTAAAAGGGAAAAGTACATGCTCTTTATATACTTCTTATTCTCCAGAAAATATTGGTAGTTGAAATATATTTGGAGAGAAAAAAACATTGCTAAAAAATATATCCTGCCTATTATTAGAGCTCTCTGGTGACGTAGTGGTAAGAAGCTACACTGCAATCTCAAAAGCTTAGGATTTGAATCTAACAGACACTGTGTGGGAAAAGGACAATTTCCTGTACAGTTTACTGCCTCTGAAAATGTGCTGGAGGGTCAGCTGTGGGTCAGTTCTGACTCGATGGCAAGCAATGTCAGAGATTGTTGTGGATGGCACAGATAGGGCATGATCCATCCAGAGCCATTGTTCATCGGGTCACTATGAGTTGGACTCAATTCAGAGACACATGACAGCATTAATGGGCATATTCTTATCATAAGTGAGCAGTAGCCAGAGACGTGAAAACATTCTTTGGCTTTAAAATAAATGATACCAATATTTAAATGGGTGAAAGTATTATGGATATACTTGTAAAATTCTTCTTGGACATCTTCAATAAATGTAATATGATATATTAAGCAATTGTATTAATACCTGTAATTTTACTCTATAGAATTTTTAATGAAAATCTCTTCCACCTTCTAATAGCCACTTTTATGATGCACTTACCTCTTCTGGGTATCACATCTAAGTGTAATCATGTCATTTTTACCCTTTTGTACTGGATTTATTTCACGTAGCAGATGTTTTCAAAATTCCTTCATACATCAAAACATATTTTTTTTTCTTAGTTTTATAACATTCTATTGTGTATATGTTACAATTTCTTTATCTTTTTTTTCCAGTGCATACCTTTCACTACTGTTAATAATACTGCAGTGAATATTGATGTACATGTATTATTATTATTATTTTTTGTGCATGTACTGTCAAATCGGATCTGACTGGTACAGGAGGAGATTGCCCCTCTTCTCCAGCAGAGCATCTGGCAGATCTGAACCGCGTACCTCTGGGATTGCAGTGCAGCTTCTTGCCACTAGGCCACCAGAGCTCCTTTGTACATGTATCTTTTTAATTACTGCTTTTGATTTTTTTTAATATGTATGAAGGAGTAGATTTGTTTAATCATATGATAGTTCGTATCTTAGCTGTTTTTTAAAACTGCCAAACTCCAACATCAGCTGAACAACTTTATATTCCTTCCAGCAATGTATAAGTTTTCTGATGTCTCCATATCCTTGACAATACTTGTTTTCTGTCTTTTAAAAAACGGTAGCCACCCTAATGCGTATGTAGTGCTATCTCTGTTTGTGGTACTTAAACATTTGTCTGTCTTTGGAGAAATACCTGTTCATGTGTTTTACCTGTTTTAAAATTGGTTTATTAATCTTTTTGTTGCTGAATTTTAAGAATTCATAAATTCTGGATATTAATCCTTTTTATATGAGCACCTACTATGTACCATAGGGTAGGGGCGCTATGAGTTGCAAGCGACTTGACAGCACATAACAACAACAACAACGACTGTGTACCAAGCCTTGTGCTAAGCAAATTCAGTATTAAAAAGTAAGATGTCTTTTACCCTCAAAAGGTTCACAAAAGGAAAATTAAAGCAAATTAAGTGATACAAAGGGAAGAAGGGGAAAGATGGATTGTGTATGTTTATACTTACTGTACTGGCTAATTCAATGTTTTTGGTTTTTTTCCTAAGGATGTAGATGCTTATTTATTACAATTGCGTTGAGAAGTTTCATCTTTTAAAGCGTACTTAGTTCTATCAAACATCTTGGACTATATGATTTCCAGAACAATCTCTCTTCTGAGAACTCTGAACTGTGGAAGAAATCAGAACCATTTTTTTTTGTTTTAAAAAGCCACGTAATGAAACCACTAATGAAATCCTAACCGTCTACTTCACATTGAAGTGGAAAACTATCAAAAGGAGCAGCTACAACTTCAATGAGGTGAAAGTGCACTATGAAGATTGTTGACTTTTGCTGCATTTGGGATTTTTATGGGATTTTTATTTGGTAATATTGTTTAAGAACTACTGGGTCTTAATGCACTCCTGCATATTGCATAATATAATTTATCCTATGTGAAAGAATAAGAAAGGACTTGTTACTGGGAACCACAAAGACTGATCATCAAGATTTTTTTTTTTAAGATTGTGTTTTATATGAAAACACTTAAATGTGTGCAGCTATTTTCTTAAGTTGAAGAGACTTTGAAAGTTTAAAACATCGCCGATTATCAATATTAATTTTTTGTTCACATTGAGATACTACTGTGTATACAAAATGCCTTAATTAGTAATAAGCCAATACTCTAAGATACCAGGATATATTAAAATAATGAAAACCACTTGTGCTCTGACATGATAAAATCATGGAATTAAAATAATGTAAATTAAGGTTTACATTCATGTAGAATGTTGTTAAAACCTAATCCAAAGCATTTTAAAATCTTGAGACTATTTCTCAGATTATTTTTTGTCAGAATCATTATTGCATAGATGTGTTACACCTATCTAAAAGAAAAAATGGTGAATATGTATTTGTATGAATGCTTAACTGGAAATGCCCCTGGATTTGGCTAATTTATGTTCAATTTTTACTCATTTTGTAGAATCCTAATATTTTTCAGTTCTGTATTGTTTAAGCATCTTTCATTTGAGTAAATTCACTGAATATTTCTATTTTTTTTGCTTTTTGTAATTCTAAGGGTTTATATGAATTCTAATTCCTTCTTTTTCACTATATATATTTTAAATGATTTAGAAATGTTTACACTTAGTACTGACCATGTATTTTAAATTCCAACACTTCTCATTACTACCTCCTCCAGTGGTTGATTTGAAATGCCAGCAAACTGTATGAAATCTTTTTTAAAAGAGAAATGCATTTTTAGTGTCCGTGAATCCAGTTCTGGAGTGTCGTATTAGCTATGTATCTTGCCTGTCTTGAAAGTGATTAGAGTTTAATATTATTGCTGAATGGTTGGGATGTCATCTCATCTTTAATAAGCTTGATATCTGAGCAAAGATTTTTATTCTTTGGACTCCTCTGCATTACAAGCACTTGAATGTATAATCTTTAGCATTTACTCAAGTCATGGCTACTGATGTTAATCACAAACAAGCATCTTTCTTGCTTTAAAAATATTAAAAATACTGCATTCACTTGGTTTTATTTTTTAGTAGCTATGTATTCCCCATGGTGTAAAATCAATTAGATTTACAAAATACTGCATTTCTGTGATTTGAGAAGTGAATTATTTAAAAAGTTGCTTTTTCAGGAGATGAGACTTTTTAATTTTAAATTTTTATCATCTCTGAAAGACCTTAAGATGATGAAAGATAACTAAAGGAACAGGAACAAAGAAAGATTATCACTGTCTTTTTCTCTCCAATGGTTTGAACTTGTTAACTTGGTTGGAGCATGGTGCTAATGAGACTGAAGCTCTTTTATGGGTTCATTAATTTTATGCATATGTAAAAAATTCTTTCATGCCTACAGAGTGCATTAGCATCTTCCCTCAGGTATCTTTCTCACAGAAGCAGTTCTTGATCCCAAGGAAGATCGTGTGTGATTTTTCTTAAACCTTTGGCCACAAATGGAAAATAACCCAAATAATTGGTGTGTATGATACTATAGATTATTATTTTAATATTTAACATTTTCTTTGGGTCAGGCCATTGACTAAAGAGTATCTTTTAAAATCAAACAGCAGTAAAAATTAAGTTCATTTACTAACTCAGCATTGTAAAAAAAATCAAACAGTAACTGTTAATACTGGGTTCTTGTGCCTGAGTTTGGGTTTGTTGAATGGGAATATGTTACTTGTAATGTAGCAGTCTTCTGTACAGAGATGACTTGGTAGGTAGTGTATTCTCCCAATTTCTTCTGTTGCCCTCTCAGTTGTTTATCTTCATAACTACCTCTCGAGTTTACATTACTATTAGGCAGTTTTAAAATTCTTCAGTGAACACTTCTGCTGCTGTTAAACTTTCCTCATTCTACAGCATTTTAATCAGAGCGCTGTTGCTTTCCAGAACAAGTCCCCATAAGTGTTTACAAAATTACTGACTGTTGTAATAACCTAGATTGGGTTAACTGCTATCTGTCATTCCTCATTTATTGAAGCATATAGAATCAGAAGATTGCCTAGAGTCTCTATGCCTTTTTAGGTCTCTTCTGCCTTCTTAGATTTTCTGTACTTAAGTAGTTTGCTTTCTTAGGAATAAATGGAGAAGAGTTTGAATTTGTCAAGGATATCATTTTATTTAGATCAACAATTTACATGGTTGGCAGCAGCAAACAAAAAATCAAGTGACACGTTGCATTGGCCAAATCTACTTTCAATGACCACTTTAAAATGCTTAAGAGCAAAGATGTCAGTTTAAAGAGTTAAGTTGCACCTGACTTCAAACTATAGTTTTTTTCTTTAGTTTCATATGCATATGAAAGTTGGACAATGAATAAGAAAGGGTGAAGAATTGATGCTTTTGAATTATGGTATTGGCAGAAAAGTATTGAGCATACTATGGATTGCCAAAAGAACAAACAAATCTGTCTTGGATGAAGTGTAGCCAGAGTCCTTCATAGAGGCAGGAGTGATGAGACATCATCTTACGTACTCTGAACATCTTGTCAGGAAGGGCCAGTCCTTGGAAAAATAGAGGGCCAGCAACAGACAGACAGAACTTAATGAGATTGATTGCCACAGTGATTGCAAAAATGTGCTTAAATACAGCAGAAATTGTGAGGATGCAGGATTTCCTCGTTGTACATCCAGTCACTATGATTCAGAACTGGGTTGATTCTTAACAAGAGATAAGATAAATGGCTTTTATTGCTAACATGATCATAATAAGAGTTAACATTTAGGAAGCAAGTAGCATCATCAATTATCTTTCAAAATTAATCTTTTGGTAGTAATATGAAAGGTAAATGGCAGAAATTTTTAATATCCTGAAATGTGCATTTGTATCCACTGTGGCTTTTTTCCTTTGCATGGAACTCTTAAGAACTGCTGAAGAGAGTTCCCCAGTGGTTCCGTGGATTTGTCTCTTGCTTCAACAATGTTTGGAGGGAACAGTCCAGCGACTCCCCCACTCCAGCTTCATCTCCAGGCTTAACCCCAGGACCATCTTAGCCATCTCCTATTTTTGGGACCAGCTAACACCAGTTTTTTGTTAGCCCCAAATCCTCAACTGACTACGAGTTATCAGATCGGTCAGAATTATTCTGCCAAAGTGGAGGCGGGCATCAGCCGTCTGGTCAACCAGCACATGCGGGCCTCCTGTACCTCTGGGTTATTGTTTTGACCATGATGATGTTGCCTTGGAAGACATGAGATACTTCTTCCGCACGTTGGCAAAGGAGAAGTGTGAGGGTGCTGAGAAGCCATCCCTGGATACCATGGAAACAGCACTGGCCTTGGAGAAGAATTGAACCAGGCCCATCTGGATCTGTGTGGGTTCGGCCCACACAGAACCCCATCTCTGTGACTTTGTGGAGAACCGCTTCCTAGATGACGAAGTGAAACTGCTGAAGATGGGTGACCATCTGACCATCATTAGAAGACTGGGTGGCCCCCAGGCTGGGCTGAGTGAGTATCTCTTTGAGCATCTCACCCTTAAGCACGACTAGGGGCCTTCAGGAATCTGCTGGGGTGGGGGGACCTTTGCATCCCCCTACCATCAGCAGCAAGCTTCTCTTTCTTACTCTAGAGTAGACTCTTATTCACCCAGAAGCCCCTAGCCCAAGCCTTGGACCAAATGGAACAATAAAGCTTTTCACAACTGCAAAAAAAAACCACAAACCAAACCCAACCTACTGAAGAGTTAAATCCTGATATTCTAAACGTACTTGATATATGCGATGTCCTAACCTTAAGAGTGATTGTGTGGGTTCAAACTATTTGGTCCCCTGATATAGTAAATTTTCAACCTCGGGACATTTTTTTTTGTCAGGATGTTGATAGAATAAAAATAAAGAATAACTAATATAAATAATGATTGTTATTGTTAAGCGCCATCGAGTTGCCTGCAACTCATAGTGACCCTATGTACAACAGCTCTGAACCCTGCCCTGTCCCGAGTCAGTCTTAACTATCGCTGACACACCTCCCTTGTTGCTCTAGTTACTTCATTAATCCATCTCTATCGCGGTCTTCCTCTCCTGTGCTATCCCTCCACCCTTCCAAGCATGATGTCCTTCTCCAAGACTGGTCCCATGTGTCCAAAGTATGTGGGACAGAGCTTCATTTTGACCTCCAAGGAGAAACTTGATTTCACCCTCTCCAAGACAGACCAATTTGTTTATTGGTGGTCCATGGTATGTTCAAGACTTCTCCAGCGCCACAACTCAAAGGTATCAATTCTTCAGTCATTCTTAGTCATTGTCCAGCTCTTTGATGCATAGCAAGTACTTGCAAAGACCATGGCCTGGACCAGGTACTCCTTACTCTGGAGAGGTCTTTGACAGAAGATTTTTCCAGTGCAGTTCATCTTTTGATTTCCTGAATGCTGGTGCCAAGAGTGTTGATTATGGAGCTAAGCAAGCTGTGATTGTTGTTAACAACCTCAATCTTTTCTCCATCTGTCATGGTGCTGCCAATGGCTCAGTGGTGAGATTGTTTTCTCAATGTTGAGCTTCAATCCATATTGAAGACTACAATTCTTTACCTTCTCTGGCAAGCACTTCAGATCCTCCTCTGTTTCAATAAGCAAGGTTGTATCATCTGCATAATGTAGGTTGTTGATAAGTCTTTTTTTTTCTTTTTTCATTTTTT